CTGAAAGTTACTGTCCACATACCATTCCTATTATTCATAAGTATCTTAAATTGTATTATAGAGAGGGAATTTCTTTATGTTTTATACAAAATAAAGCACCAGGACATGAAGCTGGTAACACAGAAAGAGATCTTCAAGAAAGAGGTATTTCAGTTCTTCACTGACCTGCATTCTCCCCAGACCTAAATCCTATTAAAAAAGTATGGCATATTATAAAAGATTATCTACAAGATAATTTTCCTGAAAATATGACATATGATAGATTGAGGGCAGCTGTTAGGCAGACAACCTGATGGATTTCAGGGGCATCTAGGTCAACTATGATTTGTTTCTATAGACTGAGATTGTCCAGAAAGGCTCAAATTAAGCTAGTTTTATTTATAACTACTAAGTGTGAAGTAAAGTAGGTAAAGTAGAATAGAATCGTAAGAATAATATTATATTGTTAATGTCTCTTCTCTGTTGCTTAATAATATCTAAAGCTTGAGAGGTACTTCTATATTTATATTCCACATCTGAGTGTTCACAGAATACATCTATCTATTATACAATTATATACCTCTCTGAGTATAACTCACAACATCGGGCATTCTTCAAAGATGCGAATACCTGGAGACCCTGAAAATCATCACATCCTCTACAGTAATTATAATATAACTAACTAGGAATCATACTATTTCTAACAGTAATTATCCAATCACTGGAGTCTTTAGACTTATGGCCTAATTCTCAAGTTAAACTGAGTTGGCAACAATTGTCTCCATCATTAATGAAATGATCAGTTTCATCTGCAGGTTGTATCTTTGAAGGTAGTCATAATTGCAACCTTCCTAGGTCATCTGACTTCAACCCTCCATAACTCCATATCCAACTAACAAATATCTTGTGGAGGACTTCCCACTAGCTCGCAGGAAGCTATTCTACTGGGTTAACAGATAATCCTTGAGTTGGCAACTTTTGGTTGCTCTGGATAATAAGATTTTAATCGTCATTCAAGTATTGAGAATTATTCCCGCAATAGTAGAGCATTCCTGGACTAAGTTGTTACACTCTGTGAAGTCTATTGGCTTCTATAGTAGTGTTCCTTAATGTTCTAGACTCTTCTGGTTATCATAGGATGGATACGAATATTGGTTTCTCATTGAGATTCTTCACCATTCGATACCATATCTTAGTTCAAAATCATCCTGTTATCTACAGTCCATGCCAAAGTTATCACATATTTGAAGCCTAGTGACTCTCTGAGTAGTTGACAGATTTACTCTGTTGTACTTCCCAGACTAAGCCAAAGGTCCTCTCTTATATATGACGCTGACAGGATCCGGTCAGACTGATGGAAGTGACATATACAGTATTATTCTAACATCTTCAATTCTGTGGCATTATAGTCACAGAACGCTACTGAGATCGTTAAGTATAATGACAGGTGGGCCTGGTAAGAGGGCTGGAGGGGAGTGTTGGAGACCAAGAATTCTGTTTTCTGAGTGGGGTTACCCTACTTATGGTAGCTCCTAGGTATTAGGATCTCAGTATTCCTAACAGCAATAGTCAAACGAGCTTGGAAAAGTATTAGGCAGCATGAGTATAGTGAGTTGATAGAAAGCATGCCAGAAAGATATCAAGCGGTCATTAATGCAAATAGCCTCTTTACCAAATATTAAATTTATATTTACTGATAGAGAATAGAAATAATTTACCTTTATGTGTTTACCTTCATGTATTTACCTTCACATAGGCTAAGGCCCACACAAACCTAAAGCCACTATCACTAATCTATCCTGTTGCACCCTGCTAGCACATTACCTCCCTACTAGTGCATCGCCCTCTTGCTAGTGGAATATACAAAATTTATAGGCAGTACCTCTGAAGTGATGGGAAGAAGAGTATCCCTTCATCTGTATTCATGACCTCGTGCTAAATGCCACTTAGCATGTCTTGTTACCGAAAGTGGAATAGTGGTGCAATGGTCAGCTCCTGCTGACATCAACAGGTGCCACTTCAAGTTTATCAGTGATATGAAGCAACTGTAGACATCTACAAACTCATACAAACAACTGTAATACTGTATTCAAACACAATAAATCAGTAAGTATTAATATTTCCTCACTATTTTAATGCAAGTAGGTCTAATTATTTCAGATAAAATGTCATTTATTAGTTTTGTTTCCAGACCTTTGGTAAAAGCAGAACCTCTTACCCACCCAAGACCACCCATAAATTCACAAAGTAATGTAAATACAATGGCAATTTGCTCTCCAATTAACAGAAAATACCAGAATCAAGAAGCTATTCTGAACAAGCTTGTTCCATCTCCATGAATACAGCCATTACAGTCTCCAGTCCTAGACAAGTTTGAGGAGGAGATTGTCCTAGAAGAACCAGCTAACAGTGAAAATAAGGCTCTTGTGGGTAGTAGTCAGGAGAAAGAGAAGGACAATAAAAATGAGCAGGATCAAGAGCCTATAGAGACACCGGTGATGTTGGAGGAATCCTTTCCAGTCCCCCCACCCTTCGAGCTATATAGGCATCAAGCACCAGAGCATAGCCGAATCGTCACACTCCCTGAAAACTTCTCTGACCAATATGAAATAATTGGACCACGCATACCAGTTGCAGACTCAGAGGAAGACTGTGACTGTTCAAGTCAAGCAAGACTATAAGTAACTCCAGGCACTTTTTTTAAGCTTTTCTTCACTCAAGAGATATTTGCAGAATTAGCACAAAATACAAACAATTATACAGAGATCAAGCACGCAAATTTACCACCTACTGCCAAAGGCCGACAGTGGCAAAGGACCTCTACAGGAGAGTTAATGATTTTTTAGGATTCCTTATTTATATGGGTGCCTATCAGGCCATGAGAGCTTCTCTTTATTGGAATAAAAGTGCTGAATTTTCAACTCACAAGATTGTCCACTATATGTCTCAATATCGCTTTGAACAACTAAAGCGCTATTTTCATGTTTCGCCAGTAAATCCCAATATACCACGACCACCTCAATATGAGTGGGCTCAAAAGCTTCAGCCCCTGGTCTCCTAGTTAGAAAGCCACTTTTAGCAGTACATTATACCAGCCTCAAATGTCTCAGTGGATGAAATGATAGTACTCTTCAAGGGCCACTCTTCTCATACTATTATGATAAGAGCCAAACCTATTTCTCAGGGGTATAACATATTAGCTCTTTATGAAAGAGAATATACATTTTCCTTTCTGTTTACCTCCCATATTGACAAGTTTTACCACCTTAGCAACCTATATAATGGACCAAGTAGGTAGTCTTTATTACCTACATCCTGTCCAGTCTTCTAGTTATAATCATCACTTCCCTCTCAATCCCAACACTTTATTCACCATTGCAACAACTGTTTTTCCAATATTCCACTATTTATTACATTCCCAGAGCACGGTATTGCAGCTTGTGGTACAGTTCACCCACCCTCTGCTTCCTATCCTCCCCTGTTTAAGATTGATAAAAGAAAACAATGTTTAGCCTGGAATACTCTTACTGCCATTACTATGGATTCTGTTTTAGCTGTCTTATGGCAGGATAAGACCTTGGTCTGGTTTCTTACCACCTATCATACCTGCACACCACAACCAGAAAACTTTGCAACTGGACTTCGCCGACAACTTAGAATCACCAATGCAAATAGGCAGCTAGTAGAAGCAGGTTGGGGAGATGATATTACTCAAGAGTTAAGGCTACCAAAGCTATTAGTTGACTACAATGACTATATGGATGGGGTGGACATCACCGACCAAAGATGCAGCTATTATTACACACAACTTCGAACTTGCCATAATTGGTTTCCCCTCTTCTTTTGGCTCCTAGATACCGCTATCATTAATTCCTTCCTATTAGCTCAAAAGCCAGAATCTTGGACTTCACTTGTAGCCTCTTATCCGTATGACCAGTACTGGAGACATCATGGATTTTTTTCGTACCTGATTAGCTTAAAACCTTGTAATGGAAGGCTTCTACTCTCTTCATTCCAGTCAGCAAATCACTGTTAACTTATCTGAGAAGCCTATATGCAATGGGTATCCCCAGACTGGTAATACTTTGAGGGGAAATAACAGTCAAAGCCAGCATCACGGGTATGTGGATAAGAACTATAATCTTGATCCTCAAAGAGAATCACCCAGTAATCACCAAATTCAACGCGGACGAAAGCAACTTTGTCTCTTCTGCTGCTACCTAGTCAAGCATCCCGAACTCCACCCTTCTACTATAATACCCATACCTATTTCCTCTAATTTAAGATATGAGGTATACTTTTAAGCCCTTCTTCTCAATTAGCAATACTCTTTGTATGCTAACTATTCTATAGACTCAAGATGCCAACCCATTTCCCCCCTTGTATCCTGCTGGTACTTTTCTTCAAGTTCCCCAATCTAGTTACAATGCACCAATTCTTGGAAAAGTTTGTCATACTTCTTTCCAGTTTCTTTTTGCAAAGTTCCTCTCTGTCTTTCCTATTGTATGCACATGTATCACGAGTCGGATGTTTAGCTCTCAGGCTTCTACAACCAAATCACATCTGAAATTGAAACAAAAAACTTCAAGTCTCAATCTCACTCTTCCAGCACGGTATTTCATCACATGGTACTATGCCACTGAGTATGTCAAAGTACTCGAGTACTTACACTGCCACATTTACTAGCTCCATCATGCCCACTCTAGTTAGTGATCCCTGGCCGAGCCAGCGCTAAAAGGTTCTGAAATTCGGCGAACGAAGGGATAGCCGCTTTCAGCACGTTCAGGACACCCACAATCCTTTAAATTTTTCGTGCTTGTGTACGCGTGTCTCGGTGTCTGTCTGGCTGGTGAATGGTTCTCCTGGTTTTCATAACGAAGACAATTATGGCGACTTATATCATCTAGCCCTACGATTAAAATAAAACTAAGACCAAGCCCCAATAAGACATAAAAGAGCTTCTCCGACACATCCGCCCTGCAGATCCAAGGTTCAAATATGAAAACACGGGAGAGCAGAGGTGAAATAGAAAAATTACAGGTCGAATCTCTAAACTTACACCGGCGAAAAATTCGGAACCCAAGACGGTAAAAATAGGCAACGTATGGCCCACTACCGCCCAACATTAACAAGTTAACAGTACACAGCTTTTCGTTCGTCATGACCTTTCCCTTTGCATTTCCAATCCTTTTTATTCAAGCAAAAGTACCATGTAAACCCAAATCCCAAACTCCTCAGACCGCATATCCCACCCAAAAGCATCCCTGCTGATAAGATGCCCCTAGCAGTAGCCTGTTTGGAGCCTTCTTAAGACCTGGCGTACCTGGTCTTCCCGAAGCTGAAAGGAATATAACGGTACTTGATCATATGCTGGATTTGTCGCCTCACTACAATAAATCAATCGCGGTTAGCAGAATATCGTTAGCAAATGGGGAGATAATGAGCACATACTAGTGAGGGTGAACAAAAGAATCCAATAAACAACAAGGACGGGCCAGAAGACTGTGTGATAATGGGTTAGCCTGTTACTCTGTGGCAAGATAGGGTGAATGGGGCTACCAACCGGGAATATCAGTTGCCCGAATCCAGGTCGCCACAAATGCGATGAAAATGGCTCGGGTGGCACTATGCCAGAATTTGAATTCGGGCAATCTCCTAATAAAGGGTCTAAATTCCTCATCCTGCTTTGTAGGCAAAGCACTCGGACCCCCAGACTCAAGCTCGTCATCTTGTTCAAGGGAGGGATCAAACTTAGGTGTGAGGAAAGCGATGAATAAGTTTAAAAGATAAATGCCGAGAGAGTAGCAAACTTTCGAGGCATCTGTCAGTGGTGATCAAAAGGGAAGAAAAGGGCGAGACATCCGAGAGGAGAGTGTCTCGGGGGCAAATTTTACCAATATACCATCCCTGAGCTATCAAGATTCTCGCCATAAAGATCAAGAGCAATACAACCGTTCCGATCCATCGATAGGGAGTAAACGGGGTGACCTTATCAAGGTATGTTTGGTACGTCTGTTGCAAGGGCTCAAAATCAGATGAGCCACGTTAGCATCGCTACCAATCCCCTGTTCATCAATTAAAGGGGAGTAAAAACTGACCCGAGTGAAGCGCGAGGTATGAGCACTGAATGCGGCCGGAAAAGCCTGCTCCGGAGGTTGCGAATCCATGGTACAATGGCACTTGTGATGTCGAGGTAGTTGATTTTGCTGTGAATGGTGTGGTTGAAAGGAGCGACTGAGGTAAAAAATTTCGAGATCAAGAAAGCTGCCAGGGGGGGGCGAAAGGAATAAAAGACACAAGGCGAGAAGTGTCCTTTTTGCGGCTAGTGCCTTGAGAATGCGTAGCCACAAGGTTCCAACAATAGGATTGTCCCTTTCTTCGAAAAAAGCAAAATGTTTCATTGTGAGGCTCTTATGCAGCAAAGAATGGCTTAATTTTTCAGGCTTTCCCCACAGTTTGTCCGCTTATTGAGTGTCCTATCCCTTCCATGCTCCGCTCCCCCACATTTAGTCGTCCCAATTTCCAAGATGATACCGTAATATTATCAAACCTTCTGAACAAATCTAGGCTATGGGTCACACGATGAGTGCCGCCCTTACACAACCTCAAAAAAAAAAGGCCAAGCAAAAGTACTATGATAGTACTCGGACAGGGTCGAAAAATCGGAAACTTGTGGTGGCAAAATAGGGAATGGGTAGATGATCTATGTGGCAACGGGTGAAAAGAGATCAGATTGAAAGACAGCTTAAACTGGTGATTAAATACCAGGTTGCACCGTGTGATCCGATATCCTAATTTCGGCTGGCGATATATCTACCCTGATGGGCTACCGGTGTGGGAATTGTTTATATCTTTTCCTTTGTCGAATGGTGTGTCGATTACGCTGGTACCTTCTGATATTTTCCCTCCAATGGTACAGTGCTCTGTTATGGTTGACAATAGCTCTGTGTAAATTGGCCAGCAGATCTGTCATGTAACTAAAGCAGAACAGAAGGTACAAAAGGAGATAGTGCTACAACCAATGAAGGTGGAGGAACGATGTTGACTATGCCTGTATTGACTGAAGCTCGCCCTCTCTGTTAAGCAAGGAAGGTGCTGCAGCCTAAATGGCAAACATCCATATGCCAAGCTGCCTATCATACATAGAAAGGTTACCATCAGGGTAAATACCCTACCAGATCCAGGAATATCACCCAACTCGCACTCGACCTCACACCGGTACTGTGGGAAAGGATTATATGATTCTCCTTTCTCCATGCCCAGGCTTGGCAGAGTATGTGGTTAAACATTCAAAAATATCTCCCATCCCATTGGTACTCCATCTAATCTCTGGTGGAATTTGCATCTATCATATTATTATAATAATATTATCAAAACAAATTCAAGAAGCATCATAGTGTACGATCCTCTGTAGAATTAATTATCGGGACTCAAGGGCACATTGCTGTATTGCTTACGGGTGTCACAATGATTCATGTATTTGCCCAGTAGCCTCTCCAATGGGGTCTTTCTCTCCCCCTTCCTCTAATCCATTAATTTCCCAGCACTACCTCTCCGTACTATTTGTACTAGAGGTTTACGAGGGTGTCGAGTTATTATTTAATAAATGGTGGTAAACGGTGCTGTGATTGCAGGTGGGTGAGGGAAGGGAGTAATTGATGATACGGTAGGAGAGTACGGGTTATGGGCCATAGACCACCACGTGACCCCTACATGAATTTCCAGTACCGCTGGTGCCTCAACCCACGTTTATATCTAACTTAGGCCGGAGAAAGTTTTGCCTCCGCGACAGATATACAGCGCCGAACATTTGTTTACCGCACAG